TTTCATAAGCACTGCGTTTGTTGAGAACCAAATAATCAAAAGAATTCACAGACAGGTATGTGTTACGAAGAAAGGGGGAAAATCCAAAAAAATGACGGTGATAAGATCAAGACACATTTCGATTATGAAGTTTACACAAAACAAATCAACTGAAGCATTTCAAAACAATGTAAAGTGGACCTTCACAATGTTTGGTAGAGATGGTGCTGAAAAAGGTGAACAGCTAACTATTATACTCTAATGTTGTCCGAAATCTCCTGCACACCGCCATGCCATAGCAAAAGCGATAGGAGAAGATTTTAAAAATTCTTCATGCGTCCTATACTTTTAAGCGCAGCAAAATTGAAGCCACCTGCTTGAACCAATGTAACCCTCGTCGGAGAACGACTTCAGGAAACCAATCTCCTAAGAACCGCGACGCAACTAAGAATTCGTTAAAAACAGGTGTTTGATTCACTAAGAAAACGAGTGACATTAAGCGATTTCATGCTCCTCGATTCACCTCGCTAACGGAGGGCTCATGTTAGCTATCTTCAAAAATCCTTACAGCTCAATACTGATCATTGGTAATGAGCAAGGATTCTTGTAATAAGGAAAAAAAAAACTAAGATACTCAATCTACGAACAGTTTTAACCTGCCCGTTGACCAAGAAACTTCGAAAACTTCATCAGTTCCGACTTTCCTAGATCTTTCCTTAGCTGATAATTGTCACATGATATAAAAACATACATAAACAATATAACATATGTAGGAGCTTAAGAACCTCATTCACCAAGCTTTGCAGCACCGATTCAGAGTTCCTTCTTGTACATGACTTGCGCGACGTTGGCTTCTCATCGTCGCTGCCTTCTTCTTCAGAAGTAGCCGTACCATTTTGCTCTTTACTATTTTGACCATTAGCATTGCTTTTAAAATCAGAGAAATCCTTCGCATTCATGACTTTACGTTGATCTTCTTCGTTATGCTATAAATTGCAGCTTATTTGTAGTGATGTAAAGAAAAAGTTAACGAAGATACCAAAATTATGTTAAAACAAACTTCAACATTAGGTTGTGCAGCGGGGGAAGCGCAACGCGATGAAGAATTGCTCCTATAGAAAAAAGATTTCTCCAAAGAACATAAGGAATATTCGAAAGCTGCTCACTTAGAGACACCATTCACTCCATTCACAGAACCAGAGGAAGACAACTGAGCATTCTTCGTAAGAATTTGTTTCATCAATGGATGAGCAGCAATGGTGGCAGATTGTGAAAGAGGTTGAGGAGCAGGAACGACAGGAGCTACCGCTGGATTCGGCATTACGCTTGGTAGCACACCTGCAGTTCCAGG